GTATTAGACCTAGACGAGTTGATTGAAAAGGAAAAATGATGAAGGTTTGTTTGGTGTAATTTATTAAGGGAAATTAAGAGGTATTAAAGTTGCCATTAATAAGATGAAAGAGTTAGAAATGATAAGATAAAAGTCGACAAATTCAAGAAAAAAGGAGCCAAATCAGACAAATTTAAAATTGAATATGTCGTCCACTATTATAGAACCATGTTTATACCAAACAAAATATGTACAGTCAACTAATTGCGACCTGTGGTAGTTTAAACGATTTGATAAAACAAAAAGTTGGAATAGTCGTAGATAAGTTGCACATTAAGTTTCTGTTTGATGCCGCAAATGGGTTACTCTATTTTAACACAATGGGATATTGTACATTGAGATATAAAGTCTTACGATATATTATGTTTTATTTAAAAAATAATTGATGTGAATGCTAAATTGACTGATTTTGGGTCATCACAAAATGTCAATGTGTTGATAAAAAACATAATATTCACAAAGGGAATTGGTACTTCAAAATAGATGTTGCCTGAAGTGTTTATTCTAAAAAACAAGAAAAGTTCTGATGATTATTCCTTTGTTGTTATCATAAATGAGCGCTTTTAATGAGAATATATTAACAAGCCAAGAATCCAAATAACCTTACAAATTTGAAAACTTTAAATCTACCAAAGGTTGTTCATCACAATGTGAAAATATTATAAACGAAGAATATGATATCATCAAAAAAGATATTGGGAAATATTCTAAGGAAAATAATACAAATAAAAGAGTTGATAATATATTGAAAGAGAATTAAAAACTTTAGTTAATGGTTTATTTAAAATACAGGGTATCTAAAAAATATAATCACAACTTTAAACGGCACAAAAAATATTTTGATGTACTATTTTCGATTTATTTTCAGTAAAGGAAGGCGAAAAAGTCGCACCACTTATTTAAAGACTTCTGTTTTAGATTCAATTTTAAGATCCGTTGATACCCATCGACACAATCTCCCGCTACTATAACAGCTGCAAAGACCTCTCGACGGACTTCTGTGTTCATATGACGTTCTTGTTCTTTTACTAATAAGTTTTCATTTCTGTCTTCATTTCAGGAAACCCCAGTTGTCAATTGAGGTGGTTAGTTTGAAGAACATCACTTCTGAATTGGTCGAACCGGCTTCCCAACATTTGTTCTTCTTGTCTAATATTTCAGATAAAATAACAAGAAGAGTAAATTTTCAACTTTTTTATGTGGCACTGACTAGGCGTTTAAGATTGTCGAGCAAATCAATGTATTTAGATTTTGTTTTTATAAAAGGTTGATAATTTCTAAAACGATTTTTTTGGTTCTAAAGTATAATTTATGAGGCAGAAATTTACAATCAAAATAGTTTCTTTCAATGTTTTTTGTTCTTTTGAGCACTGGATGGACCCTAAGATTTGGATGATGGTGATGACTATATCAATATTCTTTTTATTTATTACATTAAAACAATGGAAAAAAGTATTGGTGATGATGCCAAATTCGTAAGACCCACATGCTAAGATAAAATTGCTGATTGTATGTTCTTCACTTTATGATACCTGTAATAAACTCCCAAAGACACCAATACTCCCATTCCAACACAAAGTAGTAATAAAAGAATGTTCAAAAAATGATCGAGTGTATCTTTCATTTTTACATTTTTTGAAGAGTGGAGCTGACTTTTCAAAAGTTGGTCACATACATCTTCGGGTATTGCTTAAAACAAATTGTCCTTGTCTGTGCAATCGACTCAAGAGAACTCAAGTAAGATGATTAAATGACAACAAACACCCTTTTGGATTTTAACATCGGGCATCCCATGTTTTATTTTTTGGTTTTCTTTGGTTTGTTTTATTATGTTGAAAAATTAATAAGTTCGTTGAATTAACGTACTATTGTTGTTAGTAAAGAAATTAATATATTTGTTATAAAGTAATTAAACAACTTTGATACAAAGATTATCAAGAATTGAAAATATTGTGTTTTCAATACAACATATTGAGAATTGTTCGGTTGTCTTGAGAAGACACTCATCACCGTTTGGTTTAACTTTGTTACTTGAAGTGCATTCATTGTACTTCTGTGGTTTTGAATTGTATGACTTGGAATATATGATCAATTTTAACTTTTAACATTGGATCGTTTGATATAACAAAACATATTGTATAATATTTGTACAATTATAACACAACTCACAACGTTTTGTGAATATGAAATTTTTATTTTGATGATACACATCATAACACTCAGCACATTCATACTCTGAACACGTCTTGCAATTGTCGTGTGTAATATTGATGACACATTATTTATCTTTTCTTGTTCAAAATTCGACATCTTCGTTATAGCTACCCTTGACATTACATTTCATATAATTTGAAACGGGTTCAACACAATTCAAAAACTTCACCTCGTATTACAATCAATCTTTATTGATTGCTTAAAATGCAGCCGGGTCGGCACCACTATTAACTGTATATCGAAACAGTTTGCATTTTTCAGCAAGTTAATTAACATTTATAAAAACATCGTTTGTTGTGTCAAAATAATAACCAAAAGAGTATGTAACACAACTTCCTCTATTTCCATATCAACTTAAGCACCTTTGTCACATTGTAGACAATTCCACTTGGATAATACCATTATAGCATTTGTCACACCCAGTGTTGCTGTTTTCTTTGTTGTAAACAATGTTCACTTAATTGTTACATACCAAATCACATTCATGATATGTTCCAAGTGAATATAATAAATTACTGTAAATACAATCGCCTTGTATATCATTTGCGATTTATTGGATTCCATTAAATTGTGTTTTGTTTTCATCATTTTGTGCTTTTTTCAATTTGAACATTTTAAAATAATTAGGAAGGAATTATGGAAATACACAGTGGATATATTAACAGACTATGTGTTGTTGCATATGCGTTATTCTTCACCTCGAGCACATTTATGTAGTTTTTCAATATGAATATAGTAAAACTGCAATGGATATATCTTACTATTTTGCACGACCAAAAAGAAGATAATACCTATCGAAACACAGCACCAAACAGTTTGAAAGTAAAACACATCTTTTATTATTTTTTGATGCGTGATTTGGCTTTTATGAAAACCAGTTAAAATATACAACATAGAATCATTCTATATGTTGTCCCTCAGTTTTTAGATATTAATAACTGGAATATATCGGGAAATTTTTCGAAACGCCAGAAAAACATTGTTTCAGTTTTTTTACCGTTTTTATGATTTATTACCTTATTTCCAATTTTTTTAAAGATTTTTTTGTGTTTTTTTTGCAAAAGGGACGACGTTTGAGGAAAAAACAACGTTTAGAGAATGACTCTAATTGTTTTTTCATTTTGACTGTTAAAGGAAAAATATATAAAATTAAATAACTGTAATTTGTGAAAACAAATAGATTTTATTTTTATTTATTTTAGTTATTGATCTAAAAAAATGTTTTTTTCCATAACAATAAAATAACATAAAAGTGTTCATTAAAAATCAAAAAAATATCTGAAAGGAAGTCATTAACATGAAAAATAAATAACAATGAAATTTTATAAATATAAATTTATATTAATAAAATAAGTTCAAAATAAAAAAATTAAAGGAAATAAACAAGGACGATTATGATTTGATACAAAATAAGTGTTTATAAACTTAAAAAACAGTTTATGTGATGCTATTTAACTTAATTGTGAAATATTAAATATATATTTACACAAAAAGTATAAAATAAATTGGATTGGACATGCAGTCGACCAGCTGCTGGACAATTCAAAATGGTATTTATACTGCCAATTATGTATTGTATTGGAGTCTTATATTTCAAAATATTTCATTGAAATATTTTGGTATTAAATGCATTTTAAACAACGAAACTCAATTTTATATTTCAAGTTTTGAATCATCATACCTATATTTAATATCTACTTTTTGAGCTACTTTTACTTTATTTGGTGTTGTTATAAAGATTGATGTATTTTATTTAAATTTCAAAGTTTTTAAAATGTCCATTTAATACAATTTGTAATTGAGCAAAATATATGGTTTTATTTTTAAATAAAGCTTAAAAAATATACGTACAACAATGCAAAGTATAATATATAACTGTTAATCTTGTATTTCACAATGCATTCTTATTACAACCGTTTAAAAATGAAATGGAAACAAAGTGATTGTGGAAATGGGTTGTTTGGACTGATTCCAAATTCCAAAGATTGCATTGTTGTTAATTATTACAATTTTGTTGACAATATATGGCGTGATAAATATTTTGATTTCTCTTATATTTAAAAAACAAATATCAACAATTATGACTAATTCGATATTTCAAAAGCCAAATAACATGTGAAAAGTTTAAAAATATTTATGAAAATATATGAATCTATGAATAGCGAAGAATATACATTGTTTATTACATCATGTTGCTACTCTGATTAACATGTTAATTGCTTGATTGTGTTCACGTGTTAATTGTCCTTATTT